CTGACTGGCCTATAGTTCCCAGGATCCTCCTTCTTCCCTTTTTTAAAGATTGGCACTACATTAGCCTTTTTCCAGTCATCCGGGACTTCCCCGGTTCGCCACGAGTTTTCAAAGATAATGGCCAATGGCTCTGCAATCACACCCTGAGAACCCTCACAGGAAGCATTCATCAACAACTGGTATTTGGTAAAATTATGTGCACTGTACATTTGTTGTAGTCTCATCTTCCATGCCCTGTTCAATGATTCACTGATAATCATATATGTTCATAAGCAGGGATATTCCATTTTAGAAGATAACTCTGCTCACTTACCTATCACCAGTTTCCTTTTCCTTTATGGCATAGCAGTAGGTAAGCACTGTTGGGAGCCTTTTATAGTGGGATATTCATGCAAGAAGCAAAAAAAAAAAATGAAAAACAAATGATCAGAAGAAAATTAAAAAAATATTTAGTCTATTTTGGCAGTCCATTGCAGTGGAGTAACTGGAGAGAAGGTTTGGAGAGGAATGAAAAAACTAGCATGGTTTTATTACCTAACGCAATGGGTGACAAAGATCATAAGCAGAACAAAAGGGGCAGAGAAGAAAAGGAAAAAGTCTTTTTTCTATAATTCTACTTTTTTGATACTTCTATCTAATCAAACTCAAAAGCAATGCAATTTATTTATGTGCATTTGCTGCTCTGTGTACAGCATAACTTTTATTATCCAAGCTTCAATTGTCCCAAACTCCCTGTCTTGCTAAGCAGTATCATGTCCCTTGATGAGGGAATTTCAATTTTCTATATAATAATTCACAAGTATTTGAAACTTGAATTTCAAAATCTATTCATTGAGCCCCATGACATTTAGATTAGGATGCACTGCGTATAAAATGTCTGATTCTTCATAAGGATGAATCCTTTATAGAAACAAAAATCTTATTTGTATATAAGGTGGGCCTGAACCCAAAGCCTTGCTATGAACCTTGAGGCAGTTTGGATGCGAAGCAGAACCCAGCTCAGCATCTGAGCACAGCAGGTCAAGCCCATCTCTAATTTGTATCTGTCCAATTGACACCAAACCCATAGGAGAGAGCCTCTGAACAGTTGAATGAATCACATAATGTATATGCAACCATTTCAAAATATAATAGGACAGGGCCCGATTCCTTATAATTCCAGTGAGTTACTCCTGATTTTCACGAGTGTAAAGGTAAATCGGAAAAAGACTCTGAAATCACATGTGCTTTTTGGATACTTTGCACCAGCCATGGTAGTACAAAGTGACCGTAGAGCAGCCATAAAGCTTCCACAGCAGGCACGCAGAGGGTGTTGGGAGCAGGCCTGGAGATAATGAGGGCATGGCCAGGGAACTCCTACACTCCAGAATGCCCTGCCGCAGGAACAGTTGCTTTATATAGTGCTAGTAGCTGAACTCAAGTATCAGAGGGGTTAGTCTGTGTTAGTCTGTATCCACAAAAACAAGGAGGAGTCTGGTGTCACCTTAAAGACTGACAGATTTATTTGGGCATAAGCTGTCGTGGGTAAAAAACCACTTCTTCGGATGCATGGAGTGAAAATTACAGATACAGGCATATATATAACGGGAGTTACCTTACAAGTGGAGACCCAGTGATGACAAGGCCAATTCAGTCAGGGTGGATGTGGTCCACTCCCAATAATTGAGGAGGAGGTGTCAATACCAAGAGAGGCAAAATTGCTTTTGTAGTGAGCCAGCCACTCCCAGTCCCTATTCAAGCCCAAATTAATGGCGTTAAATTTGCAAATGAATTGTAGCTCTGCAGTTTCTCTTTGAAGTCTGTTTTTGAAGTTTTTTTTGTTGAAGGTTGGCTACTTTTAAATCTGTCATTGAATGTCCAGGGAGATTGAAGTGTTCTCCTACTGGCTTTTGTATGTTACCATTCCTGATGTCCGATTTGTGTCCATTTATTCTTTTATGTAGAGACTGTCCGGTTTGGCCAATGTACACGGCAGAGGGGCATTGCTGGCACATGCTGGCATATATCATATTAGTAGATGTGCAGGTGAATGAGCCCCTCATCATGTGGCTGATGTGCTTGGGTCCTCTGATGGTGTCGCTAGAGTATATTTGGGGACAGAGTATGCAATGGGGTTTGGAGCCGAACTGCCTCTCAATAGTGCTGGGGTCTGGAGGCACATTTCCACTGCTCTGGATTCCTGTGCCGGGCTCCACAGTGGCCCAGGGATGTATCGATCCTCAGTGTTATTTCTTAAAGGGACACTGATAAGGCTGAGAGGCCTAAAATTTAGGCTTTCCTCTTTGGTTTGGAGATTGGTCTTCAGCATGGTCTTCCTTACCCTGGTCTTGTAAACATAGGAACTATTGAAATACAACCTCCCACACAATTACAAATAAGTTGTTTTTTAAAGTCTTCTGTCTCTGGTATAAAGAAAAAAGTGGGAAAAATATTTGCCCCTTTGTCTGCATTCTTAGTGGGCAGGCACAACTTTCTGGTATAGATTCTTTTCTCTGGGGTTGTCTACACACAGTTGTACCACTTTAACTATGTCAGTTTGAAAAGGGGATAGCTAAAGGTGTACAGCCCCCTAGTGTGGATGTAGTTATACCGGGTTTCTATTGGTATATCTTATTCCTGTAAATGTTGGGGTTTAAGCTATATTTGCATATGGATCCTTTATACGAATATAACTCTGCATCCTAACTGGTCTACGCAAATACTGTGCATAGACCAGGCTCCTGAAAGAACAGTGTGCACAGAGTTGTCATTGGATTATGCTGACATCTTGAATGAGGAGCAGAAGACAGACTGACAGCCACACCTTCCAAGGATAGTGAGGTTTTGAGCATGTTGTTGCTTGAGCATTGCTTATCTTGGCTGAGTGCATAAACCACCCCAATGTTTGAGTACCGTCTGCTTTGAAATTTCCATTCTGTGCCTGAACACCCAGAGCTCGATGCCTGTGAATGGGTCTGGTGTCCGCCGTCTAGTGGTCACAATCTCTGGCATTCACCCCACCTAGTGGTCGCAGTAGGAGGGGTAGGGGAACCTGGGTCCTCCTGCTACACCGGGTTGCGACTCAGGGCCCTGTGAGGCCTGTCCAACGCCTTTCACCTGGGGTGCCTCAAGTCAGCCTCCATGGGTCACTTCCTACCTCCCCCTTGCCTAAGGCATTCTGCAATTTGGCCTAGCCAGCACTTCCACACAGGTTGCCTACCATCTCCAGTCCATAAGAGCTGCCACTCACCAATGCTTCTCCTCCTGGTCTGGGTCTGGCTGCGTCGTCCACTGGAGCAACCAGAACCAGCCCTTCTCCCTACCCTTTCCATCCCTAACTGTACCGACCGACTCCCTTTTAAGCCCCACCTCCAAGTGGAGCATGCTTGACATGGACAGAGGGGCAGGGCCTGCTGAGCCCAGAGCTGCTCTTTCACCCTTTGCTGTCCAGTGAGGGGTTTGTACACCCCGTCACACAGCCCAAAACTTATCCTAAGAGTGACCCTTGGAAAATTACCCTGTTAAAATGCTTCCTTACTTTGAAGAGTGAATACGGAAAAATGGCCCCTTTTTACTGATCAGATTTGCTCTCTGTGTCTATTCAAAATCAAGTGAGTTTGACTGAGTTAAGTGACTACAATAAGAATTTACTGGATTTTACTTTTGTCGGTGCTGCAGAGCCCACACAGATGGGAGGCTGTTCCTCCCTATGCAACATCAACATATTGGTAATTGCTTATGAAGTTCAAATCAGTTACTTCCATACAATGGGGTTGCAAAGTTAACATGAAAGGTATAACCTGAAGATGAAAGGTGCACACACGGGTAACAGAGGCCCTGATTTTGACCTGCAAAACCTTTGCTTCACATGCATCATTCACCAGGAATAAAGAACCCAAATTGACTTTCGGAGCCTAGGTTGAACTTGCAAGACTATAAACTGAGCGTGTTAATAAGGAATCATCGAGAGACAATCAGCATGGACCCGCACAATGCTATTTTAACAGAGGCGCTTTTCAGAGAGGAGCTGTGTGCTCAGTGAAGGGCTGCTCGTATCGCACCACTAGAAAATATATAGCTTCAATTTTGTTTTTAAATTGATATATTGAAATGGAGTGAGTCTGCATTAAAAGGGAAGTTACACAAATACCTTAATAAACTTAGCACAGTGTGGTTTTACACTAAAATGAGGTCTGGAAATAATACGAACAGCTTGACTTTTCCCTGAGTATTACTTAAGAGTTTGAAATGTCTAAAAGTGAAGTATGTTGGAGTTAATGAAAACCACACAGGACAAAATAAAGGCACAGTGCAAGGGCTTTTTGTCAGCAAAGTAAAAAAGAAAATATACCACCTATTGGCAGATATCATTGATGTTTTGATTATTAATAATATTTACTTTGGTACTTCTGAGATCTCTGTTGCTACAATATGAGGCTTGCTCCCACTCCCATTGAAGTCAATGGCAAAACTCCCATAGATTTCAGCAGATACAAAATCAAACCTTAAATATGCTCAATGAAAGAGTATCTTGTTGTTTGTGTGTAATTAGTGTGGACAGAGTCCTGTGGTCCTTATTCAGACAAAGTTCCAATCAATATCACTTGTAGTTTTGACAGTGTAAAGCCCACAGTATTAGGCCCTGTTACATCTGAGTTATTCTGTGTTGAGAAATGAGGGATTTGTTTTAATGAAGTGGAGGGAGTTGTGTAACACAGACTCCTACATTAGCACTGTTATTGGGAATGAACAGAATAACCAATATTTGTGTACAATGAGAACTGTGGCTATGGTTAAGGCTCTGCTCCTGCAGTTGGATGGGGACTCCTTGTGGGCATAAGGGTCTCTGCTAGCAGATCCCAACACGGTAAAGGAGCCTAAGAATTTATCATTTTACTGAGTCATCCGATGATTGTAGCTCCTCTCTGCATATTTTTATTTTATATTTCATTGAACAGGAGGTGACTGCTCCTTTTAACAGTATGTTGACTATTTTCTTTATTTATTTGGATTTTTTTCAGGATTGCACCTTCCAATTACTTTCCCTGGATGCCTGGATCAATATGTGCTGTCAAAGTCAAACATCGCTAGTGGCCCTTCTCAGCCTGTGAAATCACGCGAGGGTGATGAAAGGACAAATTCTGCCCATCTGTGGTACTTGTGGAACTGGACCAATAGCGCACAGCTGTAAGATAATGATTTTGTATCATTATGTTCTGGATGTCTGTATATGTTTCGTAGCATGTTTGAGCGAGAGGCAGTCCAGCAGCATTCTCTCTATGCAGGTACTTACACGCCATCATCACTGCAGTATCTTAGGGCTTGTCTACACATACAGTGCTGCAGCGGTGCAGCTGTCCACACTGGCGCTTAGGCTGCTGTAACTTATTTTTCTCTGGTGAGTGGTTTATTCACACCCCTGAGCGATGTAAGTTATGCTGACATAAACTAGTGTAGACGTAGCCTTAGTGCATACACACACACCTTCATATACTGAGATGATGAGGATCATTTAATCACCGAGGTAGATACAAATACAGACACACCTCTTAATAATATATAAGTCTGTACAGTGGCAGATCTATCAACCCATGCCCTGTTTGTGCCCTGCCCTATCCCCCACCCCCAACCCACAAGCTCTTCTGTGCAGAGAGCCCCCATAAAGCTGAGGTCTTTGGCATATTGGAATTTGCCCTCACAGCACAGACTCTCCAAATCCTGCATCTGTTTCAGCAGAACCACACAGGTTCTGCCCCCTGAGACCCTCTGGGAGAGATTCTGGCCACTCCATCAGCACTGCTGTGTGGGGAAGCCAAGCCTCTGTGCTCTGGGTCTCCCGGGTGGATTAAGCTTCTGGAGCAGGATGCAGCACTGGTTCCTCACTTAGCCTCTCTGGCGTTTTTCCTGAGCAGTGGCTCTCAGTCTGGGAATGGAGCTTCTCTGCACACCTGCCCTAGGCCACCAGGGCCAGTGCTGACCCTTGAGATAAACCAGTTGCTTAAACACATCCTGTCCCAGAACTCTCCCTACAAAGATGTGGTTACTATTTTACTCTCTCAGGGTCACGCAGTAGTTGTAAGGCAGTTAAAACACTTACTATAGAATCTAACACATTTCTGCTTTTACTTAATCATATAAAGTACAAGACAGTACAGCTCATACAAAGTAATATACATTCTAAGCACAATGCCCCTAACTAGCTCGCTCTTCCCTTGTGAGTCCTTGGGGGACCATTTGGGTTCAGGGAGGCAGGCAGGGAGTCCCCTGCATCTTGAAGTGTTGCATGCTGATGGGTTGCTTCTTCCTCATGGGCTGGAGAAAATTGCTCCTGAGCAGACCAGTTTCTGTCCTTTTAAAAACCTTAGTGCCCTGTGTCAGGGGACGCCTTTGCCAGCTTTCCCACATGAGCACAAATCCCTGGCAGGTTACTTCATTGCCAAGGCAAGTTCTCCTCTGCTAAACCAGTTCTTCTGGGCAGAGACTAGTCTTTTGTCTTGAGCAGCGGTTCTCAAACGTGGGTCGAGATCCCAAAGCTGTATTGATGTTGGGTTCTGAGTAGATGGGATGAGTGCTGGGAGGGTGAACTGAGGGCAGTGGGGTTGATGGGATGGGGGGCTGAACTGATTGGGTGGTGATGAGCGGGACTGGGGGACTGAACTGTGGGGGAGCTGAATTGAGGTGGGTTGGGTGGAGACAGAACTGATGGAGGCTTGGGGGACAGAATTAATTGCTGGGCAGGAGAGGGGCAGATGTCGCGGTGAGAGCTCCTGCAGCAGGCACCAAAATCACCTTATCTGATACATGTGGGAGGGTGAGCAACACTAACTGTCACATGCACACATCCTGGGGATGGACAGGGGGAGTGCAAACATCAAGAGACTGGTCTAAAAAACACAACAAATTCTTTAAAAAAAAAACCTCATGATTTTGGGGGAGGTCTGACTCTTGATTTTTGATCTATTGATCAATACAATTTGGCAATACAGTTCCACAGCTAATTCTTTGCAAACTACTGTAGCAAAAGACCAATAGCTGGACATCCCTGTAGTGGCCACTGACGCATTCCTGGAATACTGGACATTCTGGTACTTCCAGGAATGGAATGGCCCCACCTCCCGCCGGCGTGACCTTGGATACACAGTATGTGCGAGGTCATGCCACATGGGAGGGTGCCATTTTTAAGAACATGCTGCTCTGCCTCCACTGATGGGACCTTGAATGTGAGGTCAATCTGGTGGGAGCAGAGCAGCACAATGTTCAAAAGGGCATCCCTCATCTGATACTGGACAAACCATGTCTGATTTTGTCTGAGTACCAGACAGGGGACAAACCCTAGAGAAACAGGACTGTGCAGTTAAATACTTGACCAGTTGCCTGCCTACATCCCTATCATGTCCAAATCAAAGCCTGCCAGATTATTGCTCACTAATTTATGAAGGGCTATTTCCTTGTGTCATAGTCTTTTACAGTATTTTATGAAGGTGCTGGTCTTGACTCTCTACTGTTGCCAGTCCTCCAGGATTGTCCTGGAGTCTCTGGGAATTAAAGATTAATTTTAAACTAAAGATTATGTCATGTGATGAAATCTCCAGGAATATGTCCAACCAAAACTCTCTTCAGTGATGTCATGCAATAACCACATGAGCGTGACAATGGCATTTTATTGTGTGTGACCCCACTTAAATGTAATGGATCAGCATTCACGTTGCACTCCCTGTCAGTACGGAGCCGGGGAAGTTAATAATCCAATCAGTGGACCAAATTTGGTGATGAATCCTGGTCATGTGCCACCTGAGGCACATTGTGCATATGTTAAGAAGACTTAAATGTAAGTAGTTTTTATTAAAGATAGTGTAGGTTTTCTCTTTTCATTTCTTCCTGGCATTAGCACAGGGCAGAGTTAAAGTTGTTTAGGTGCCTTAACTTTGTATTTCCATTCCTTAACATGTTTGGATTTCTTTAAAATTGGATTTCTGGGTTGGTCATGCCTGCTTTTGCAATAATTACAACATTGCTGTGATGTTTTTTTACCTATAAGTTCCTGATATGTGCTCTCAGCTGTAATTCCATCTTGCCATAGTTTTTATCTGGGAATTACGATGAAATAAATCTTCCAAGCAGTAAAAACAGACTTGGTGCAAGCATTATTCCAACCTACTTGGTTTCATCTCTTGTGTCACTTCACTGGGGAAGAAAGGCTCCTATTTTCAGTATTCTTATACCTCATTTTCATTTTCATATAGAGGAAGCAAGCACTTTCCTAACACTTATTGTTCTTATTTTGCAGGAGTTCTATACCAGCTTCAGCTGACCACAAGGAACTCTTGAAAGCTCAAGACCTTTCCATCATCATCAAAGCGTATGTGCTAGTGACATCCTTAACACCTTTGCGGGCATTCATTCATTCAACTGCCATTGTCTGGCTTCCTCCCAGGACAAAGCACTTTTCTGTAAAGGTAAAACTCTTCTTTTCTAACTGGTTCATTCACTCAAAGTGCAGTGATAGAAAGGCAAACAATTTAGTTCCTCTTTCTTCTTCCTTCATTATTAGCCATTCCTACTGAACACAAAATATACTTTTCATCGATAGCTTTCATTAATCAGACAAAAGAGCAGTGTTTGGTTTGCAAAGGAGGAGGCAATATTGTCATGCACAATGGGGTTATCAGGGCACTTCCAAGTTTTGGCTCGGTTGTGTGAGAGCAGATGCAGAGCTGTTGTTACGCTCTCCAGCACAACTGTGCAGACACTGCAGTGATGAAGCTTTTCCTAGCTTGGTGTTAATCCACTATGGAAGAAAGTAAAATCAGTACCTAAAATAAGGGCTGGTTTGGGATCTTTAATTTTTTGAACTAGAGATGCCACAGAGTTGCCCTTTATGAGAGAAGTGGTCACAAACTAAGGGAAATGCTCTGTAAGATGGAGGGAATGGGCCTCCAGTGCACCACCCTTAGAATCCTAGGTTCTGTGAAGATGGATGCTTTATAAACAGGCTTGAAAGGATTAGATTTTATCAGTAAATGCCAGTAAATGTTGCTTTCACTGCACACTCACAAATTGTTGGGAAAATATTTCCGTCAGTAATAATAGACATTTACAGCTAGGCAAAGTAAGAAAAATGCACCTTGGAAACTTATTAGAGTTTGACTTAAAAAGATATTCACTTTGTGTATTTTGACACGTGGTGTTAATATTTGTGTTTTAATGGTTATAAAGCTTTAACTTTCTGAATTTCAGGGTCTCTTGTCATTAAATAATTGTCTTCCCCTCCCCCACACACAATTTCATGCAATTCTGGAAACTTAAATTGATAAAAACTTTAAAAACTCATAAAGAAATACAAATCAAATCCTGCCAACCCTATTTATAAGTGCCTAAAATAGATTAGATCTTGTCATCTCCAGGTGGCGGGGGAGAGACTGTGACCCATCTTGCCCAGTGGCACGTGCCTCCTCATGGGTATCCTGCTTCTCCTTTGTTCCATTTAGCGAGAAACTGCTTGCGACATAGCAGCTCTTCCTGCAATGCCAGAGGATCTGCTGCCTTGTGGATCATTCCATCCTTCCTTCTGCAGAAGGGAGACACTAGGGCTACAGAGTCTTCTATGGGTCTCACCTGGAGTGTCTCAACTCCTGCACCATTGCTTGAGGGTTGAGGAAGCTGCTTCCACACTTGCCCACAAGAAGATCCTCAGATCCCAACTGAGTCACTTGGGTAGGGGGCACGATTTGGGTCTTAATCAGCGTGAGTGCTGGCATTATGCTACAATGCCACAATCCTATTATGATAATGCTAAAATGTTGGAGCATATTGAAGCCTATGAGATGATATTGTTACTCATTTTTACCATCTAACCTTGTGGAAACTAATTGGTCTTCCTCATTTAAGTCACCCACTGAACAGACCTCTGCTTCCTCTGAATTTAATTTAATTTAAGTTAACTGAAAAGATTACAAGTGTCCAGTGGCATCATTATAATCCCGTAACTAGGAACTAGCTTAGAGGATAATAATCATTAGTAGTTGTGGAATTGCACTCTGGAAAATAATCAGCGCTGAGACAAGTCTTCAAAAAGGGGCATCAGCCACCATTTACAGAACATTATGGCAGCTGAAGAAGCAGTAAAAGTGATAGATAGAAGTAGCAGCACATAGAGAGGAGTTCGAGTCTGGTTACTGCTTCTGTGGTCCTATATCTTCCACAGCTTTAGACAGAGTTGTCAGAACGGTAAGAGTTATACAAACAAGAGTCACCAGAGAAAGCACTTCTATGGTGATGTACATTTAAATGCAAATTAATACAATGATGGAGAACAGGATATATTACGCTGCCTCTAACTATAAACAGGATATTCTATATAGAGCTTGAGAGAAGTCAGAGGGTCTCCAAGAATTAACCAGTAAAAGCAAGGCACTGTATAATCTAACAATAGAAATTCTCTAGGTGTGACCAGCTAGCATATGTGGAAAATACATAAAGGATTTCTGGGCTTGACACAATGCAGCATCAGATGCACTGTGCAGGAGAAGCAGAAAATAGCACTTCGTTCTGGAAATAATGGTGGAAAATTAAATGTTTAAAATAAGTATTTTTCTCCCTGTCTATAAGTCAGCTATAAACCATTTTGTCATGATCGTAGAGCATGTTTTCAATAAACTACACAGAGTATTCAGCCAAACCTACAATGCCAGTTACCCGCCTACAGCAGACACAATGAGCCAGGACCTCTGAATGAAGCCAGTGGCGCTATGCCAGTTGATGACAGCTGAGGAATTTGGTCCATAATAACTAGAAATGTTCAGCCTCAGCCACACGTTTCTGAAATGTGGGATTTCTTTGTGAAGTATCTCTCGTGTGAATGAAGGAAAAAATGCTCATTATTTGTTGTGCAGCTCCAAAAATGTCAGTAGTTTACAACTATTATACATAATTCTTACAAATCACTTTTACTCACCCTGCTTATAGTGACTGAGGTTTTCAGTGACTTTATCCACCATCTGTGCCTTAAAAAAAATAGAAACCTTGAAAAATAATTGCATAAAGTACATATCAAGGAATCTATGTCCAATCAGTGTGTCATCATTCCTGTTCATGTCAGGAGACATTGTGCACTCTCACTGAGCAAATAATTGAAGCCTAAACGTTTTCCTGTATATTGCCAGTGTTGATGTGTGAAATGCTCTTCACTTGTTAATTACCTCAAGGTTGACAGGCCATGCAGTATTCACCAAAAAGGGAGACTCTTATTTCCATCAGGTGCTTTGCACTATTTTGTGTAGGACTTGAAGACTGGACTTGCGTCCACGTGTGCAAATTAGCACTTTAATTCTCTTGAGCAGTATTCCCCTAACTGTCTTCAGGATCCTGGTTGTGGTTGTTTGGTAACCAACGGTTCTGTCTTTTTATATTTTGGCAACACTTGCATAGCTTGTCATGTCAATATAGAATTTTTGTATTATATTGACAGGTTTTAAGAGACTAACTGATATCGGTGCTTTAAAGTCTTAGAAAATGGTTTAATTACTCAGGTTAACCATTTTGATCTATTCACCCTCCCACCTACCATCTTTTAGAGGAGGCATTTGCTTTCACACGGCTCCAATCATGTCTTATGGGAGAGCAATTGGCACAGAGCTCTGCATCATCTGGCATTTTACCTTACGTAGTAGGTAGTATTTTGCACTGCCACAGGAGTGGCTGAGAATCTGACTCCATGTATGTGCACATGCAAAATGGGTAGTTAGGTGCCTGATCGTTTTCTGGGTCTAATTACCCATTTTGTGAACTCGTGCAACTTTAGGTGCTCATCTAAAAGAACTCGTTAAAGTTAGTTGTTGTTGTGTAACAGTTCCATGGTGTAAGCCAAAATTACCGACCATTGAAATTGTCTCTTGTGTATTGTGCATTTGAAAATTTTAATAAACAAGATGTTTTTTCCAAGTTAACATATGTGCAAACAAAACAGGAACAGTATGCTCTCGGGAAATATGCCTTCTAATATGATTTGGGGCTCTCACTTAGAGCTGCACATTGTGAAAATCAGGTGATAATATTGCCCTCATGTGGCCTCTTTGGATATTGCCTCAGGACCTTCCAAAAATAATTTTTAATGTAAAATAGAATTAAAACATACATGTAAGTAAAGAGCAAAACTTCTGACACAACAGAAACTTTCAATGTTCCTCCCCACCTCATTTTATTTTATAAGGGTGTTTTAATTACCCAATTTTTACCTTTATTTCTTTGGCAGAAACATACGTGAAAGAACTCTATGTATCCTTAACTCTCAATTAGGTTTTGAATTAAGCTTGTGATATAAATGAAATTAGGCCCTGATCATGCAAACACTTATGCCTATGCCTAACTTTACTACTGTATGTTGTTAAGCACTCGCATATGTGTTTGCAGGATCAGGGCCTTCATTTGTAATGTTGCCGTAGTTGTTTGGTTCTAAAGTCAAAACCCACCTCTCTCTCTTACTGCTCACTACCTCCAAAAAATCCCAACATTTTAAGTGAGAGTGTATTTTAGACAGGAAAGTAAGACTGTCATCTGACCCTCCTAACTCACTTCTTTATGCTCTTTTTCTCTCTTACAAACGTCTAGGGGGCATATCTTTAATGGTGGAAGTCCAGGCCACCCCAAATCCTAGAGAGAAGCAGCTGCTTATTATTGGGAATTATATTTCCCCTTCCAGAAACCGAATCCTTGGAAGTCTGCCTCCATTATTCTCCAATAACATGGTATTCTGGGAAGGCCCAAGTCTTCCCACAGCAACAAGAGGATCCATAAAAGGAATTCTGTTGGTGGGTCACCACTGCTGTTCCGCCTCATCATTTCCAAAAGCCCAGGACCATGGTTAGGAGGCCATAGTTATTCCAGTCCCCACTCAAAGTACATTAAAGTCAGTGGAAGTCTTATTATTTACTTCACTGGGCTTTGGTCTTGGCCTTAACAGCAGAGATCATTAGAGGAAAGGTTGTTAGAGGCCTTTTTTCACTTCCTCCTCACCAGCAGAAATTTAGAAAACAACATTCTCAGGGATTACTAGTAACCACTGAAATAAGTGGGTAATTTAAAATAAAATGATACTCAGAGAACATTTTCCACATAAATGAATTAAAACAAACTTTAGGTGGGATGAATTTGTGGCTTAATCTATTAACAGACTTCCTTTAAAACTAGATTATGTAAGAAAAAATATGCACAAATAGGAAATTTACTATACAAAATAGTTGAATAATGTCTTGGTTTCCACCTTCATCAAGTGCTGTGTCAAAGGAACAGGGAAATGTCATCACATAATAATAAATCCGGGTGAGAATAAATAGGCATATCCAACAGCTAGCACTATAAACTAATGATAAATCACTGTATTTTTTTCTCTGTGATGTATTCTGGAACCATTGTTTTTGATTATGGGTACATTTTTCTCCCATTACATGTGACAACTTCTTCGACTGACAATGATTCATCAACCACTGTAGGCAGAAGACCACGTGTAGATAGATCTATGTGAGGCAGTGCGCCGTGCTTGGAATAGAATTATTGTAGAATACGTTTCTTTGGCCGTTTTGCACAAATCCAGTCTGTATGTTGGGAGATGCATTGGTTATCCTTGTTTCTTCAAGTGCATAATCAAAGAGGCGTGTGTGTGTGTGTGTGTGTGTGTGTACATAAATACACAGATTGTGTGGACTTGGCGAAGAAATATAATTAAGCATAGCTATTTTCCATGGGGTGCAACATAAAAGGAATGAATGCAGGAACGCTAACTACAGATAGAAAGGCTTATGTTGAAAAAAACTGTATCCTATTAAGAAGGATTTATTCTTCTCAGACATTTAAAAAAAACAACCTGTCACATAATAAAGACCCTGCAGCTATGCATATCCCCTTAGCTGTGAAACTACAATGGGATCGCTGCACAGTGGAGCACTGTGACCTTGGCACTCTGGTTTGCCAAGCTGTCTCCATGTTCCATATACATTATTATTGCTTAAAATGTAGCCAAAAATCTGAAAAGGAGACATATATGTCCTCTCTTCAGGAAGCAATTCTTATCTCACTGCATGTTCTCCTTACACAAAAGGTGTTCTTCAACGTACGTCCTCCCACGCAACATACATTTATTGCAGGGTTGCTTACAAGTTAGAAAGCACATTCTACGTCACCTAAGATCCAACCCACCAGTCCGTATTGATTGTTAACCTGTTTTGTACCTTTTCTTATTTCTGTTTTGATACCACATTCCAAACCAGTTGCCTATGAAGGTGCCTTTACTAGCACATTGAACAAATGTATCTTGCCCTTGACCGGCTTTATATTTGCTAATGCCACGCTCGGTACGGTAGAGAACCCCACTTGCCCCTCACCGAATCCCAAGCTCTTGGTTTCTTCCCACAACCTCTGAAGAGCCAGGAATTTAACCCGAAGTAAATGCTGCACCCGTGTTCAATACCAATGACTTTATTTGCCACCTAGCCAGGAAGGACACAGCCACAATTAGTAAAAGGGACTAGCAGAGAGCTGCTCTGAGAAGTCACACATATAACCCGAAACGTAATACGAGTCCTCGACACTTAAATAGCCCTAACTTAACAACTAGTCCACATGGCCCTCCAGGCTCCGTTCTAGAACAGAGTACCTCCTGTCTCTAGTGCTGTAGTGTGAGGTCGCAGTAGGAAGTCCCAGGCTTGGCTGCCTCTCAAGGAATCTGTCCCCATGGTCACCAGGCAGGTCAGGGCTGCTTCTGCTGGGTCTGGACTGCTCTCCCCGCTTGGCTATGTCTGTGCACCTGATTTGCTGTCTGGGTCAATCTCCCAGTACTGGGGTCTGGCTGTGATTAGGCTTTTTACCCTCCAGCAGCAGCAGTGCATGCTATCTGTCCATGCTCTGTAGCCTTCTCCCAGAGCCAATCAGGTGGCCTGCATACCCCTTCCCTGTCCTCGCTTGAGCAGGGCTGAGCTCTTCCTCTGTAGCAGTTTTGCTCCACCACTGAGAGGTGGGCTGGAAGCAAGAAGTCAGGGGTGGCATTTCCTTCCAGTCATCTAACAAAGCAGGGCTCTGGAGACAGAGGGTTCAGCTCCCTTCTCAAACTGCTGCCTAATCAATCAGGCCTTCTCCATTGTAGGGCTGGCCCCTTCACACTGCTGATGTGTCAAGTGGAGGCTCCCAAAGAGCCTCCTGTACTGAGATTCCAGCAGGGTTGCTACAATTTGTACCTGGCTGCAACGAACCCCAGTTATGCCAGCCAGTGATCTCCAGACTACAGAACTCTCTGGCCACATCGTCTCCTCAACATGCCCATGATGTGGCCCCTAAACTGGGGCTGGGGATAGAAGAGGGCAATGTACCGATGTCTAGAACAATTCTACCCCATGTCATGCAAATCCTCAACTACAGCAACTTTATGGGCCTTTGGGTTGCTTTGGTGGCACAAAGGGACCATAGTCAGCCCCAGAATCTGTCCCCACAAATTCATTCGTAAAGAATATCTAGGAACAGAAGCTAGCTCAAGGGAATAATTAAATGTAAACAAGCTAAAGCCCTAGTTGTGCCACACTTCTGCTCTATCCATGAGCATGCATGCGTGAAGATTGCAAATGGGAAGTATTTGATTAAATCATATGTAGTATGCCTTTCAGGCCTTTAATTGATTATTCAAAACACTGTGTGTGTTTTTGAGAAGTACAGTAGAATGAAATAATTTGTGTCACTGAGCCCACACAATGCTTATTTAACATGACTGGAGGTTGGTTGGTTGGTTGGTTTAATCTAACACCAAAGGGGAATAAGAAAAAGCATGTTATTGTTGGTTTAGCCAATTCATTCATTTTTTCATGACTTACCCTGAAGCAAAAGTAATTATAATATCACTGCACTGTAACTATGGGCCAAATGCAGCTCCTTCCACTGTAAGCCCAAACACCCCTAAAATCAGCAAGAATTGTCTTGGTCCCACTATGTGTGAGAACTGTGCTCCTCCTGTGTTCTGCTCCATTAGCCCTCTTCCTGCTGTGGTGGGAAAGGTGGATTTGGACAAATGGTGGGAGTAAGTTGAGGGGGCGGTGGTGTACATGCCAGTGGATATGCCAATATGGGGATCCATGGGGCTAAACTCCTCATGTAAGGCATGTGCAGGAGCCCCATCACTATTACATGGATTGTTGTATTAGTAATGATGTGGCTGGCCACATGATGGGGTGGGGGTGAGGGGAGGATTGCTTTCACCCTGACTGCTCTTCCATCCTCTGCATAAAACTTGTTTACTCAGGCTCAGAGCTCATAGCCAAAGGGGAAGGACATCAGCATTTGGCCCAATATGTTACAAAGAAGAAAGGATTTGGCTTTGAATATGTTGATACTGTCAAGTTTTTCTACTGCAGCAGAACTAAGCATGAGACGTTTCCACTTCATGTAATATGTTAATAGCAAAATGTTTTATGAAAGTGAATTTAGGCTGTGGGACCTCTGTGTCTAAATGCAGTGCCTTCTGGTACCAATTAATGCACAGTTTATTTAAGATTTGCTTCTTTATAAATGCAAATAACTTCTCTGCTAGAATATTGAGAGAACATTTAATTTCATTCTTCATTTAATGTGGGACCGGGTAGAAAATAAAACTGTCATTCTTATGCAATTTTGACATCTGCAAGCCTGTTAATGTACGGTCCTTAAAAGTATAATAGGATAAGTGTTTAAGAATTTGTGTAACATCTTTCACAGCTACAAAGATTTTTTGAGACATACTTCAAATCCAGTTCCCCTCAGCAAGCCTTTGATAATATGAAAGAAACAATAAGTAAACTCTTACTGGTAGCTGAGGCATTCAGTGAATCACCCGATGTGGGACCAAAGACCTTCAATAGGTAAGAAGCTACCAATAAATAAATGGTAAGTTTATTGTCAAGTTCTTTAGAATATTATGGAAAGCAGTTGAGTACACAGATTCTGCTGTTACAAAGAAACTCTTATTTCATACTTGGTATTAGAGTGAAATAATGTGGTTGGTGAAGAGAGATTTTCAACAGCAGCGGCATCCAACCTTCTGAACTTGAGGGCCAAACATATTATTTCAAAAAAGGTCAAGAAGTTACAATCAATACCTTGAGTCAGATTCTGTGTCCTGTTCTGCTGCTTTTATATTGCTCAGGCAGTACAAAACGAGCAGAAACCTCCCACAAATGGGGGAGTTCCCAATGGATGCGAAGCTGGCATAGCTGCCTCCTGTGCTTCCCTACTTTGAGCCCCTAGCGTAGAGGGTGTTGAGGGATGAAAGAGTGAGTTGCCAAAGCTTATTGTACTCCAGCTGTCTCCATTTGGTATATGGCTTTTGGGGACTGTAACTGACTGGTGCAAATTAGAGCCACCCCTGGCAGCTATAACCAGGGCTGGAGCAGGGAATCAGGGAATTGCAACTGATCTGAATAGTAGCACAATTTTAGAATACTTTGTCCTAAGTATTACACCTCATGAAGTATGCCTGAATAATACTGTATCACTTTTTTATAGGACAAATAGGTTATTGCAGTCTTTCCTACTGGATTTTTTAGTTTTATATGGACCAGATACTTCACTTTTTTATAGTAAATATACATGTTTTATACAGCTACTTGAGGACCTAGTTGTTTAGCAGCAATAAAGCTCATTATTTGTCCTAAAGTAGTAGGAACAAAACTTTATAGAATATATAATTGTGTGTGTGTGTGTGTGTGTGTGTGTGTAAGAGAGAGACTGTGAATATAAATATAGAGTTATTTTAAGAGTTGTGCAAAACCAGCTAGTTTTGGTTCACATAGTTTCACCAAACCAAATTGATGAGTTGGCTGTTTTATGGGACATCCAAGTTTTCATGTAGTTCCAGGCTCGTATGAATCCAAAATCCCACCACGCAATTGCAGCAAAGACCATTGGGGTCACAATGAAACTCATGAGTTTTGCTACTACTCACCCTTATGTAACATCTGTTTTCCCCAAAATGTCATCCACCCAGTTGCAGAACCCCACACCCTCCAGCAGGCACTTCCTCCCCCTATATCGTTCCCCTCCTCCAACACACCCCAAAACCCTCATGTACCACAGAATGCACTAACATTAAGAGAGGAATGGGCCTAGATTAAAAAGACCCCATAACATTAGAAATCCTCATTCCATCCCCTGTCTGGGCTTGGTGCATCTGGTGGTGAATTAGGGTCTTAGAGTAAAATAATGGGCTTCTGAAGCAGCAACAATGGATTAGAGTAGCATTTCTCAGTGCAGCTACTGCTAAATTGGTTAGGGAATGAGTGGTGGGCAAGACTGTGTTTAACTATATCTTTAAAGTAAAGTTAAAAACTGGCCAGTGTGTGTGTGTATAACTCCTCTTTACTGGATGGGATCAGTATTGTTAATCTATGTATCAGAAGTACTACATTGCTTATAGTCATGGAGGCTCTCCATTGCTAGAAGAACAGGGTTCTGTCCTCTCTGTCATTGTCCAGTCCTAGGTGGCCATGGGTTTGTTACAATATTTTTAACACGTAACCTGTTTTACTTGGCCTGTTAAAAGAAACAACAGTGAAAAACAACATAATGGCTTGAAGTCTATAGGCCAGCATCTCAGCTGGTGTAAATAGTATCACTCCATTTAAGTCTATGAAACTGTGCTGATTTTCACCAGCTGAGGATCTAAACCTATCTGCATGTAACTTTATTGACTTTTTCTCTTTTACTTACAGTTATCTCACATGCCATATTCTTGTCAGGTTTAATTTCAGATGCAGTCTGTGTTTTCAAATGTTAACCTTTGACATTGGGTTCAACACCTCCACATATCCAGTAGTTCTTGAGGTAAGCAAGTGCCACGTTTTTTAAAACATGTAACATTTTTTAAAGCAAGTAAGTGATCAGATGGATGGAGGGGATTTATTTTTGGTATTTTTTTAATTGTTTTCCCTGGTTTTAGGAGCTTTCCAAACCCAAAGGAAGGAACTGGCCCTTCCCAAAAGAGCATAGACTAAAAAGAAAAGTACAGTAGAGAATTGTCATTGATGATTGCCCCCAAACCGCTAAGCAACTATGCACAAATATACAAATAGATGTGTGAATACATTAGTAAGTGGAGTCTTGGGGCTGGAAGAGTTGTTAAGGGACTATGGAATAATATTGATGTCTACAGCACTAAGATCTCAACAACATCTGTCAACAACCTGGCTAGGAAGCATTGTGGCCTAGTGGAGTAGGCACTGGCTGTGGAACGGGGCTCAATCTTGAGCTGTGCTAGAGAACAGCTTGGCATAGGTGACTGGAGGAGGCTGAGGTCTTGGGACTGGCTGAAATATCTCCCTGTGCACGTCTAAATGCTGCCCTAAATTGTGCTGGCTTGTACTTCTTCCCTAGAGGCCATTACGCCTACAAAGATCTATGGAGCACAACATACTCTGACCTCCATCATGCTGACTTCTGCTTCCCAGCCCACCCTGACATACCCTCTACACCATGAGGAAGAGGAATGTGGTAGAGAGCCCATCATACCAGCTTTGTACCACCTACTACTACTTTGTACCACCTACCAGCTTTGTACCACCTATTCCTCCATCAGAGGAATTCTCAGCTGTCCCTTTAGGCCAGCTTTCCAGCTGTTTTGCTCTGCTTCAGGGAATTTAAAAAAGCCATGTCTTCTTTTGTCTGCACAAAAGAAAAAAAAAAGGAAAAATATATTTGAAAAGTACACAGGGACATTCCAGAAGCAAAATTTAAAAAATAAATCTTAATTAAAAAAAATCAATTTAGGTTGCTAAGTGAAATCTGTGTAGTTTCCTATTACATCAGCTACAGAATGCAAAGAAATGAGTAGATATAGTAAACCTTGCACTGTCCACAAAATAAATATAAAGACATTGTTCTTACCAAGTATAAAGAAATGCATATTTCATCACAACTTAATAACCTCAAGTTGGACCCTAAATAAATACAGTACTTTCATCAGTAATCCTCAAATCAAAACCCTTTTGAAAACAGAAGTTCTCTCTACATGCTATAGACACATCTTGATCAGCCTCAAATGGAAGTTAAAATAAATACATATTTTATATCATGTTCTAGTAAATCACTAGTGATAAATGCTTTTCTATGAAAATATGTGTAACATTATTCTAAAAAAAGCAATTATAAGTACTTCTAAAAGAGATCTACTGTCAGCTACTAAATATTAACAGATATTAATACAGTATTTCTTAAACACATTTGGATACAGAAGTAAAGAAAACAAGAATGTTCTATATAACCCCTGATTCATGTGAGTTGCAGTTGTGTTGGGGTTGTAAAATGAATTTCCTTATGATTGATAGAAATGATGTGATTGTTTATTATGTCTAATGTAAAATGTATGTCCTTAACTATTCAAGTTATGCTCATTATTAAGCATTAAGAACTTGAGTTTTGTGTATAACATGTAATCGTTTAGCAATCTTCACTCTTTAATTTTTTTTTATATATTTATAAATTATATATTTATATTTAAAAATAGGCTGCAAAATTAATTTTTATATGACAGTGCTATGCTCTTCTCAGTGCACTAGAGGTCAGCAAACACTATGATGTGTAATTGTTATAGAAAATGAAGTACTGTATTTGCTGTAAAAAGAAAAGGAGGACTTGTGGCACCTTAGAGACTAACACATTTATTAGAGTATAAGCTTTCGTGAGCTACAGCTCACTTCATCGGATGTAGCTCAGGAAAGCTTATGCTCTAATAAATGTGTTAGTCTCTAAGGTGCCACAAGTCCTCCTTTTCTTTTTGCGGATACAGACTAACATGGCTACTACTCTGAAACCTGTCAGTATTTGCCGTGTTACAATTCTGATAATTGTATCAGAAGTAATATACATAAATAAAATACTACTACTTTATTTGTTTACCATCTGTGTGCATTTGATTCCTTTTTTATTCATACCTTTTATGATTCCTTTGAATAAATAAATAAATCCAGCTTAGATATATTGGGGAACACTGGATTTGATATGAAAACTGTATGTTAATTCATTTTTTTCAAGGTGCACGAACACTTTGACTTTCAAGTTGATGATGACTTGAATTTTGAGGACCAAACTGTAAAAGAATTCCTGCTTGAGGATACATTCAAGTTTCTCTTGTCTAATAAGTCTTCAGCTTCCAGTGTCTTTGAGGCTTTACAGAACATTTACAGATTAGCTGTGATTAAGGTACGAGTGGATTTCGTAAACATTTTTCTTATTACAAATTAATTGAAAATATTTAATTCTAAATGATAACCTTTTCTTTGTGAGGGCTTTTTTCTAAACTACAAAATGAAATATTTGTTCAATCAGAACTTTTTGGGGCTAGGCAGAGTTGTATGAAACTGTGAAAAACATATTATGATGACACCTTGCATGGAATTTTCTTTCTTTCTTTCTTTCTTTCTTTCTTTCTTTCTTTCTTTCTTTCTTTCTTTCTTTCTTTCTTTCTTTCTTCTTCATTTTCCAACCCTCAAGAGTTCATATTTTCAAAGCTGCAATATTGTGAAATTCTGTGTGTTTTCAAGTAAAACCAGTTTAGTTTAATAATGGGACCTAACCAACAGATATTAAGAATATGCCATAAGTTTTGATGCTGAAAACTGTTCTTTCCTCTCCTCAGTTGTTTTTAATGGCCATGTTTCTGCTCCATATAAAGTTCTCATCACTTCTGCACTGGACACTCTTGTCTTAGTTGTCACATAGACATCCCACCACCTAAAGGCCTTTAAAGATGCTGAAATACCATTGATGCAAGATTGATCTGACATGTTACTTCGGATATAGAACTTTCTGCTGTCAATCAACTACCCAGATAAATGAAACTATTCACCCATTCAGTGTCAGTGCCATCTACATGCAGTGTCAGCAGGTCATTTGTTTCCATTTTATAAGAGGCATACATAGCTTTGGTTTTATTACCATTGATCTTAAATCCCATAGATTCTGCAGTTTTTCAGCGCTCTTCCAGCCATCAGTTGTAGTTGGTCAGTAGTCTCTCCTAGTGAGGCAAGATCATCTGCATAATCGAGAGCCTCTAAAGACCAATCTTTAAATTTCACACCTTCTACTTTGGCCTCAATCAATTTGTCATCAGATCATCTATTAGAACATTAAATAACATAGGCGAGAGTATTCATTCATCCCTGGCCTACTCCTGACTCAACTGGACAGCCGTTGACCCTCACACAGCTAAATGTATGGTGGTACAGTTCTTCCACTCACCACACTATGTCCTCAGTCACACCCTACTGGTGTAGCAGTATCCACAGTGCTGCTGTGGTCAAAAGTGGCTGTAAAGTCTATACACATGTTGTTAACTTCCTTTTGTTGTTCTAGTCATTTTTCAGTAACATGCAGAGCATGTGTAGCATGGAATGTAGATTGATCTGTACAGAAACCATGGTGACTGTCTCTCATTTTTTGGTCGAAACAGTATTTCAATCAATTCAGTAATACGATCGTAAACACCTTCCCTGGGATTGACAGCAGTGTTATTCTCCTATGATTCAAGCAAGCTGATAGCTCTCTCATCCCCAGGGTATGTCTACACTGCAATTGGACATGTGATTGCAGCTCATATAGGCATACCCATGCTAGCTTTAGTCTAGCTAGAGCATCTCAAAATAGCAGCGAAGACGTGGTGGCAATGATCCTGGCGGGGACACATACCCAAGTTTCCAGGTGGACTTGTATATCCTGCACTGAAGCTTGTGCCACTGCATCTTCACTATTACTTTTAGCTGCACGAGCTGTATCAAAGCTAGCTTGGGTATGCCTATACGAGCTGCAATCGCACATCCAATTGCAGTGTAGACGTACACCTAGTGTGCACCAGCTACTCCTGTCCTTTCTTTTGCAGGATGAAAACTACCAGAAGGAATATGAGCAATGTCTGTCTTTAGAAGAGATAAATTCAATGATTCATTTTATAAAAGAGCTGAAGAGTATGGGACAATTTGAGCTGGTAAAGTAAACATTATTATTGTGTATTTTTTGGTATTGTGCAATTTCCTTTGATGTGATATCATAGTAGTTCAACTGTAAGTTATTTAAGAAGAAAGTGTTTCTACTTTTAAAATCTTTGAAAACATTATGGATTTATTTTCTTATTTCTTATTTAAATAAATGCTAAAATGGTCAGAATCCAGGTACTTTAAGACATCATAAAATCATGATTGATTTCATAACGACACAACAGAACAGAATTGTAGTACATCACAAGTTTTTAATTTTTAAGAAGGATGCTATCACGTGCCTAAAGTTTAGTACATGTGTAACTGCAATATTGGAGCCTATGCTTTAGATATGATGTGATGGTGTGATGCAGAGGGGGGCAGCAAACAGTGAGAGAGGATGGAATGGGAAAGAATGAAGTTTACAGCAGTAAAATCATGTGGATACTCAGTTTGGTCATGTGTATGTCTTGTGGATTCTGCCAATTCTTCCTAAAATAAAAACAAGGAGGATAACAGGATAGGAGAAAATGTCAGACTCATTTCTTGTGGAGCTCACAGAAAAGGTGAATGGTCTGAGGTATACAAATGAGAGAAGGAAAGGGCTTGATGAATCAATTAGGTAGGAAATGTGTAGGGCTTGATAGAAGTCTTGAAGACACTTACGAGAAAAATGAACAAATGTGGCCCTGAGGCTGGCATTAGTGGTGAAATAGGCAAGAGGTGATGTGTTAAAATATGAGGTCAGATAGCTGTGGGCAGTAGAGTTATGTAGGACCTCAAAGGTGAGGACAGGAAGTTTAAATTGAATGCAATGAAGAAGATTGGAGGGGGTCAGTGGAGAGATTTAAAGAGTGGGTGACATGGTCTGAATGACATAGTAAGAAAATCATTTTGGAGGCCACATTCCATATGGAGAGGTGGGGGCGATGTGGGTGTTGGGAAGGCTGGAGAGGAGTGGTTGAGAGATGAAATGAGGAAAACCTGAGAAGAAATGTCAAAGAGGCAGAATGAGGCATGAGATGAGGGATTGGAAGGAGGGAGATAGATTAGGAATCATCAGCATAGCCATCATAGCTGAAACTGTGTGAGCAGATAATGCACTTAATGTGTAATGGGGAAAAAAGGAGGGTACCACTGAGAGATCCTGAGGGAATCCCCCCAAAGCGGGTGTGGGGAAGGAGGAAAGATTCTGAAGGACCAATCAGATGGGTAGGAAGACTTCCAAGAGAGAATAGTACCAAGGAAACCGAGGAGGGATAAAATGTCAAGGAATAGGGAGTGATCAACAGTTTTAAAGGCATTTAACTGGGGAGATCCAGAAGAATGAGCATGGAGTACAGCTGCTGAGATTTGGGTAGGAAGAGATGAATGGAAATGTCTGTCGAGTATGTATTTGGTGGGGTGGAGAGGGTGGTCTAGAATAGAGTTAGAGGGGGGAAATTGAGGGAATGGTTGTAAATGGGTCATTCAATGATTTTAGAGGTAAAGAGAGAGGGAGCTGGAGAGGTAATTGGCAAAAGTAATAGTATCAGGGATCAGTTTTTTGAGACTTGAGGAACCAAACCATTCTGGTACTTGGAGCAGGAGCCAGAGGACAGTGAGAGGTCAAGGGTGAGATGGAGGAAGGAATGACACTGGTGCAGAGGTGGGGCAGGTGGAGGGATTGGAAAAAGTACAAGACCTTTTAGTGACAGTAGAAAAGTGTGCTGGGGATGGAAAGGAGGAGAAGGAGAGTGGGGAAGGAGTAGGGAGGTCATGAGAGATGTTGTCAGTTTTCTTCCTGAAGTCAGTGAGATCCTGGGCATAGAGGGTGGAGGATGTAGGAGAAGGGAAGGTTTTAGGAAGGTGTCAGTGGCCATTAATAAATGTTGGGGTTTATATGCCTGGGACTCAATAAGGGCGAGGCAGAGCTGCAAGGAAGGTGGCAGAAAAGAAGGCAGAAAAGAGGAAAAGAGAACAAATCTGTGTCTAGGAAGTCTGCCTGATGTCTGGATCTCTGCCAGAGAGGTGGGATGAGCAACAGGGCTGGGGATTGGTGGGTAAATTATACGGGGGGAAAGAGGGACAAAGGAGTCAAGGATAGAGAGAGTGGTGTTAATGGACTTAACAACTGATCAGTGGAGGCGAAGGAAGAGCAGCAAGTATTGGGACACAGAGCATCAGAGAAGTCACGGGCAGTAAGGGATTGAAGGTCCTGGAAGGTCATGGGACAGATGGAGGTGAGTGATCATATAGGAAATGATTTGGTAGCAACAAAGAGAAAATTCAGTAATGAAAGAAAGGGAGTTCTGCTTAGTGATGGCAAGGTCTATGGTATGGTCTTTTGGTTCAGGGAAGAGTTCATCTCAGTTTGAGAGTCAAATAAGCAAGACACAGAAGACTGAGGGATAAGACTTCCGCTTCGGGACCAGTAAGCATGGTTTTGCAAGGCATGATAATCAGCATAACTTTGGGAATGTATCTTAATAGGATATTCTGTTAAACACATGTTTCAGAGTAACAGCCGTGTTAGTCTGTATTCGCAAAAAGAAAAGGAGTACTTGTGGCACCTTTTTAAACACATGTAATCTGTTCCTAATTTTTCTTAGCTTCCTTGTTATGTTTTACATATATAGTATGCATCTAACCTATTGTAACAGTTTGCAGGACCAGACCCCGACATGTGATTTAGTCAGAGATATAAAGGAAAAATCTATGAAAAAGTGTTTTTACCTTTACTAATCTGACACATATCAACTTTCTCTCTTTCAGCTTTTCCCATCTTCTGCACCCAAGATTCAAACTTTGCTGCATGATGTTTATCACATGGTAGACCCGATGGGAAAGCTTGGGTCAGTCCTGACAGTACATTGGTTTCTTTCCAATTTACTTGAGCAGTTCCAGTTCATGAATAAAGAGGCACGTCCAAATCTCTCAGGATGGTAAGATGGCTATTAGATAATATTTCTAGGGCCAGATCCTCAGCTGGTGGAAACCAATGTAGAGCTTTTGACTTAAGAGGGTCTATGCCAATTAACGCCAGCCAAAGCACTGGCTCAGTGTTTCTTATTATAGTGTGTTGTGAGGTATTCCTTTGTTAAGGTTGATCTGAATTTCCAGATAAATCCAGTTTGGGATCCTTTTCTCCCCCTTCTAACGCACAGGATTATTGGTGGCAAAATCACGGGGGTGAGGGGGTAGAATTTTTCTAGTAGATTTGAAGTGAATTTTCTGAATTACTACACCCTGAAAATAGGAATGTTTAATAGAGTTCAAAAGGTCTCCTGCTCCTTGCCTCCAATTTTGAAGCCAAAACAAGAAAGAAGGCAGGAGATAAAAACTTGGGCCAAGATTTTCAGAGGTGACTAGTGATTTTGGGTTGTCACAGATTTTGGATGCCCCACTTGAGACACCTTCCTCTGAAAATCTAATTTTAAATGCAACTCTAACTTTTAACGTTATTAAGATTTCAAATAATAATATCAGACTGGCATGTTGACTTCAGTGGGCTTAAATTATGATCGTGACTGCTGTAGACTTAAACTTTCACTTGAAATAAATAAATAAAAATAAGTTTTCAGCCTTTCCCATGTGGAAAAAGACTTTAAAATGTAAGTCAATTGTTTGTCAGTGGGAAAAGGGACATTTTTTCAACCAAAATTGAAAAAAAAGTTACTTATACACAAGGTTTTGTGAATTATGATTTATTAAAAAAAAATAGAGGTGTTCGTCACAGTTAGAAAATTCATCAAAGATTTGGGGTCCTTTTAGGGCTGTCAAGTGATTAAAAAAATTAATCACGATTAATTGTGAGATTAAAAAATTAATTGTGATTAATCGCAGTTTTAATCACACTGTTAATATTAAAATACCATTATTTAAATGTTTTGGGGGTTTTCTGTATTTTGCAATATAGGGTCAGGGCTGGGAGCTCTGAGCTTCAGCTCTGCTCGGGGCTTCAGCCTTGCATGAGGTATGGGGACATCAACCCCCCTCAGGGCACGAGGTGCAGGGCTCCAGCCCCCCTTGAGGCTTGGGGCTCCAGCCACTATCACGGTTTGGGGCGTGGGGCTCTTGCCCTACCCCCTACCCCGGCGCCTGGGAAGCTGTGGGCTGGGTCTTCTTCAGCTCCCCCACCCCCGGCCAATGCCTCCTGCCCGCCCACAGATAAGTGATTAATGCATCAAAAATTAACATATTAATTTTGCTTTCAGTTAATCGCAGGTGTTAACTCCGATTAATTGACAGACCTAGTGGGTTTTTTTTTATTAGATCATTGCTAACTACAATATTCTTGTATGGATTCCCACCACCTTCCTTAGTTGATGATGTGTAGTTTCCATTTTAACATCATCTTAACAAAGTTTTTTGGCTGGAAAGAACAAAAATAATGGTATTGTAATTTTGGTACTCTATGTATTTCTTCTAAAGCTGAGGAAATTCATATTTATTTTCCATACCCATTTTCTCCTTGCTAATGACATTGAATGCAAGTGTACAGCTCACCTACTGGTAATGGAGGTGACTTGCATGTATTGTGTACATTGTGAAATAGTTAGAGGTCCAGTTTCTGTTTCTTTCATTCCACAAATTCTGAATGATATTGTGCAAACACTTCTTTTTTGGCAGTGTAGACATACCTACTATGTAAATGGCTATGAATGCTTGAAAACTGAAAAGACGTGAGTTAAGCTTTATCCCAAGGCAGCCTGTTTAAGCATTTTGTTTAAACTTTAAGCTTTCCTGAGGTTCATAACCTTGATGAGTTTTGTTCAAAAGGACTGTTATCCTGACTTTCATAGATTTGGGCCAAATTTTTAATGGGCTCCTTAATTGTTCCCACTTATCGGCATATGCAAGATCTGTGGTTTCATGTACAAACTGGCAACTGCATGACCAGCTACCCCTTATGGATGTATAAATAGACAGTTAAGGAGGCTCCCTGAAAAATTTCCTCTTGATTTAGATTTTGTATCTTGGTGCTCATGAAATCAGAGAATGAAGACCCTACTCAAAGGAGTTTACTGGTCAGCATTACTTTCCCCCATTTCCATCTACATGATTATTTGGAATTTTAACATCCCCAGTGAAGTTAGTGAATTCTCTGCACTTCTTCCACAGGAAAATCAAGAAAAGTTCCAGAAACTCATCTAGGACTACCATGAAATGGTCAAAGCCTAGGTGAGAATGAACAAATAGTGAACTTGTAATGCCTATCATTACATCCGTGGACACCATCTCTGAAGGAGCTTGTGAACATGAACAGCTTTAGGGCAGTTTCTGGGGAGCACAAGCCCAACACACATACACAGATCTGCTAAGTTCTGGCAGTAGGATAAATTAGTTGCCACTTTTCCTATCTCGGTGGGATAATCCTGAATTCTTTGTGTTCTGATGTAAGACTGACAATGATTCCTTTTAATGGTCCTTTCTACAAGTCTCATTAAAACATTTGTGGGGGTTGGCCACAAAGTAAGATTTCGCTATCTTCGCCCCACCCACCACACACACACATAGAAAGTGGATTTATGTCTTTTAAAATCATAAACTGATGAACAATAGGCTTCTCTGGCAATGCAATTCTTCAAGAGGACTTCAAAGGGAATGTTTTGGGGGGAAACATATGACTCCTGAAAGGAGCCCCTTTGGATCTCTTCATCTGTCATTTCTCTTTGTCAGTCTATACAGGGTTTGCATAGGGAAGAGCTTATTGTAAATCTACCTTACCAGCCTCCAGTCATGTCCAAAAATGGATTTGACTCATTGTAAGAGGAAATCTGCTGAATTAACAAATTTGGAGTTGGTGACATATTCCTGAGTAAAAAGAAAAGGAGGACTTGTGGCACCTTAGAGACTAACCAATTTATTTGAGCATAAGCTTTCGTGAGCTACAGCTCACTTCATCGGATGCATTCAGTGGAAAATACAGTGCAGAGATTTATATACGCAGAGAACATGAAACAATGGGTGTTACCATACACACTGTAATGAGAGTGATCAGGTAAGGTGAGCTATTACCAGCAGGAGAGCGGGGTGGGAGGGGAATCTTTTGTAGTGATAATCAAGGTGGGCCATTTCCAGCAGTTGACAAGACCTTCCTGGACACTACGGTGCTAATAAGCGATGGTCAAATAAACACCACCCTATACTGGAAACCTACTGACTGCTATGCCTACCTACATGCTTCCAGCTTTCATCCACACACACCACACGATCCATTCTCTACAGCCAAGCTCTACGATACAATGTCATTTGCTTCAACCCCTCAGTCAGAGACAAACACCTACAAGATCTCTATCAAGCATTCTTACAACTGCTGAAATGAAGAAACAGATTGACAGAGCCAGAAGAGTACCCAGAAGTTACCTACTACAGGACAGGCCCAACAAAGAAAATAACAGAACACCACTAGCCATCACCTTCAACCCCCAACTAAAACCTCTCCAGTGCAACATCAAGGACCTACAACCTATCCTGAAGGACGACCCATCACTCTCATAGATCTTGGGAGACAGGCCAGTCCTTGCTTACAGACAGCCCCCCCAACCTGAAGCAAATACTCACCAGCAACCACACACCACACAACAGAACCACTAACCCAGGAACCTATCCTTGCAACAAAGCCCGTTGCCAGCTGTGTCCACATATCTATTCAGGGGACACCATCCTAGGGCCTAATCACATCAGCCACACTATCAGAGGCTCGTTCACCTGCACATCCACCAATGTGATATATGCCATCATGTGCCAGCAATGCCCCTTTGCCATGTACATTGGCCAAACTAGACAGTCTCTACGTAAAAGAATAAATGGACACAAATCAGATGTCAAGAATTATAACATTCAAAAACCAGTCCGAGAACACTTCAATCTCTCTGGTCACTCGATTACAGACCTAAAAGTTGCAATTCTTCAACAAAAAAACTTCAAAAACAGACTCCAATGAGAGACTGCTGAATTGAAATTAATTTGCAAACTGGATACAATTAACTTAGGCTTGAATAAAGACTGGGAGTGGACGGGTCATTACACAAAGTAAAACTATTTCCCCATGTTTATTTTCTCCTTCCCTCTCCCCCCCCCCCCGGCTGTTCCTCAGACGTTCTTGCTGGAAATGGCCCACCTTGATTATCACTACAAAAGTACCCCCCCCCCCGCTCTCCTGCTGGCAATAGCTCACCTTATCTGATCACTGTCGTTACAATGTGTATGGCAACACCCATTGTTTCATGTTCTCTGCGTATATAAATCTCCCCACTGTATTTTCCACTTAATGCATCCGATAAAGTGAGCTGTAGCTCACGAAAGCTTATGCTCAAATAAATCTGTTAGTCTCTAAGGTGCCACAAGTCCTCCTTTTCTTTTTGCGGATACAGACTAACACGGCTGCTACTCTGAAACCTATTCCTGAGTAGTTGCAGATAGCTAGTCTTCATTTGATAAAGTAAGAATGTGTATGAATTCTAGCTTTAGGCATATAATTTGGTTTTGGATTAGCAAGTACATAGTCTAATATTACTTCTGTCTGCTTCATTCCAGTGTATAAATCCATACTCACCTAAATTCAGTCATGTACCAGTTACTCAAGTCTTTACTTGTCTTAAAGAAATTGTTTTTGTACAAATTGTAACCCGAACTGCATATTAAAAATGGGTAAAAAAGTAATGTACAAGCAATTCAAAAGCTTTTATTCTTGGATACCACTCCCCTTCCAGTTTTCCTCCCTATTAAGCTACTTTCTTGAGATGCATTTCTGCTTTTCTCCTTTTCTTGCTATGGGCAATTGTTTACTACGGGCTGTAAGTTTTCCATCATGCTCATTTCAGGTAAGATTGCTGGTATTGGGAATGTGAGTGCAAGAGGTGCATCTTTCTGTTCAGAAAACTACAGTACCATGCCCCACGCCAAGGGAGACAGGAATTTTTAAAAAGTGTTTTCCATGGATTCTGTTCCTCTCATTGATCTAGAAATGTCTATACTATTGCATTGATAGGAATTCTTTCCCAGAAAAAGAAGGTGTTAAACAAAGAACTCCTTTCAACGTAATGAAAAATCAGAAAGGTAGGACATCAGACTGGTTTACTTGTAATATACCACATGCTTTTCCTGTTTGTTCCAAAAATCTGGGAATGTCTGTGGTTCAGATGAACTGATGTGTTTCTTACATTCGTGCTTTCCAGTTAGACGGTTGTGGCTCATTTACTAAACATAAAAGGCTGAATTCTATCTCCCTAACTCATGAAAGTTGTTCCATGGATTCCAGTGGGAGTAGAGCAGGCAGCATATGGCCCAAACTGAAATAAATACAAGTGTCCCCTTTTATTTGTATAATTCAGTTATGTTTGGGGGGAGAGGGTTGTTTTCTTTGGGTTCTGCAAATAGGGGTTGCATGCAGTGTGTAGAGTAGGACACAGTTAATTGTTTCTGTTTGCCCTTTAGAATTACATTTTTCCAATGAGACTAAAGAAAGGCATTGTAGTCATGGTAAGTCAAGATCTATATCTTTGTACTGACAGAACATGTGAACTTTATGCAAAAGGTGGCACTGCTTTAACACATTTTTTATAGTGTCTGTGCAACTTTCTTTAGGGAATGGAGTGCCTTTAGGCCCTTAAAAACGAAACATGGTTTATTAAGTAGCCAGAATGTTTCTGAATCCATCAATAATCAGTCAGCTATGCAAAGTAACTCTCAAGCACAAAGTTAGCCATTGTTATGTTTACATTCTAATATTAATGTTTGGACATTCATTGATCTCAAAGCCCTTATGGTTTTTCTTCTGGTTATACCACTGACTGTCATGTAGACAGTTTTTCAAGGACAGTTATAGTTTCTCCTTTTGCATACAGTTGTTCTTATGAAGTGGTCTTTTAAACTTTAAATTTTTGGATGCTCAACTATCATACAGGATATTAGTTCAGTGCTTAACCCTTCCTGATCAAGTAATATCTGTTCAGGAATACAATATTTGTGGTTCTTTAGTGATGTAGAAGGAAATACTTAAATATAAAATTAGAGACACACTCAATAGTTTTTTTTCTTTCAACCTGCATTTACCCTTGCTTCATATCCCTCACCACCATTAGCCATCCAGAACTCCATTCAACTACAAATATATCATTGTACAGGCGGACCTCTTTATTGCTATATCCAGGTGAAATTATGTGGGACCCAGAACAGTGCACATATAGCTGCAAGGACATTTGGCTTCTTCAGGGGTACAGTCAGCTGAGTATCAGGCCAAAACAAAAGAAAGCCTTAGGGTGTTGCTCAGGGGATGATGAGCTCATCTAAATGAGCTCCGGGCATCCCACACCTTAGAACATTACTACTACCTTTTCAGTGTCCAGTGCTCTTTTCCCCTCTGTCTAACTGAGGCTGTATTGTCTATGAGAGTTATTCTGGAAGAGGGAGACAAATTGCTGCTTAGGGGTGAAGAATTTTCATCCCAATGGGCCTCATCTCCTCTCTGCTCCTCTCTAAGCTTGGCGCTCAGCCAGGAAGATGTCAGTTCCAGGCCAAGAACATTCCTATCCTGGCTGACTGACACTATGATTTCATCCCTCTCATAAGATTTTTCTTTGAAAGGTACCCCTCCCTCCAGCTGCTTTAATTCTTAAGGCTATTAGTGATTTCTTAGGGAATAAGCATACATCCTGAAATGATCTGTGCATTACATAGGCCATATGGCCTCTTGGGGAACTCAGGAGTGCTTCTTATATCCTTTGAATACTTACTTTCCCTCAACCCTCTATGCTGTACGTTTTGAAAATGACCTGTTCTCTGGGGAATTTGGCCCAAATTCTGCTCTCAGTTAAACCAGTGTAACTCTGGAGTAACAGCATTAACTCTATTTACAACAATGTATCTGAGAACTGAACTTGGCCCTTTTGTGTTACTCTCCAGTTAAATTCAATCTCGTGGACAGGCCCCACACAGGGCCCTGTGTACTATTTAAGCCCTCTTAAGCCACATACTAAGCTTCCAGATTCACTCAGCTATTTGAGGGAAAGAGTTTACTGGCTGGAATGTTTGCAGAAGCAGCCAGTTATAATTGAATATTGGAGAATATTCAGAAAAAGCAAATTTTGAATGTGTAAACATGCCAGCAATCTGATTCTAACAGATCAGATTAAAATAGGTGCAAGAAACTTGTCACAGACGAGCTACAGGCAAATAATAATTCACAGAAATCATTTTGTTTGATAATGATAATACAGAATAATGAGTGTGTTTGAGAAAATCATGATTTTTATGGATTGTCCACAAACAGAAAAAGAGGTGCAGTTTGTTGAATGAGGATTCTTTATAAATTATTTACCCTGATGTACAAATGATCCCATGAGTCTAGATGTCACCCATGTGATCAGTTCTTATGAGCAGTAAGGGTGTTTCCAACAGATTGATTTTTTCCTGGCAACTACACATATACATAAGCCCTGCACACAGGCTGGTACATACCTAAGTTGGTTGTGAATTTCTGTCATTTAACTCATGTACATTTCAATTAATCCACTGGAGACAGGATTTTTTGACCTTAATCCTTAAATTTTCAGTGCCTTAGTCAAGCTTTTAGTTTTGTGACTCCTACTAAAGTCATTGGGCAGAAAATGATAAAAGCCCTGCACAGGTCTGAAAATTTACCCCAAGTGCCAATACAAAATCCATTAATGCCTTGCAGCAACAGACTCAGCCTGGCTATGAGTTAATGAATCTCACCATTGATCATTTAACAGCCTGCCAGCAGTTACTTGTTATTTTAAAATGTCCATATGTTTCACAGTTTTTTCTTTGATGCCTTCTTGGAACAGATAAAGATACCCTATCTCATATCAGGCAAATCTTCACCTGCCCGCCTTTGGACCTGAATCCTAAATTTAATCCAAAGATCAAAGAGTACTACACTGAAGTCCCATTTGATGTGGTGACAGTGAAGATTGGAGCAGAACCCTCTAACTGTCAGTGCCAGGTGCACCTTGATGAGAGGAAGGGACCAAGGTATGGGGGAAAATGATCCTGTAAGCACAGAGCTGACTCCTAATATTGGAGAAACAGAAAGGATGGCAGCCACCTCTGCATTTCCAAGAGAACTAGGAATTAGGAATTAAGATTACAAAAGGAGATTTGAATGCCCAGACATTTAGTCCTTTAGATTTGTATTTATTTATCAATGTATTAAAAATGTACCCATTACAATCATTACAATTAAACTCCAGTTAACAACCCCCCCAAACTGTTAGAATCTCCCTCCAGCTTCTACATAAAACTACTCACACCACCAATGGTCTGAGTACAGAAGACGAGCACGGTTGTTGGTAAAATATTCAGGGCCCAAATTATACAGAGCTGTATATAAGCTAAGCAGCACTGGGTCTCATCAGTAACTGAACAGAAGATTTTCAAGGTGAACCCAGGAGCTGCTAGAACCATGATTCACTTGGTAGAGCCCTTCTGTCTTAGTCATTATAGGACCAGCATTCCACCATGGTGTAAGGCATCCGTTGGAGGTGCAGTCTTTGGTGGTGTATAAAACAGAGGACCTGACCAGTTGTGATCATTGAGGGTCTTATGGTCCTTTCTGCAAAACTATGGGGGTTTGTCCTGGTGTCCTCGCCAGTATCTTCTATTATTAATCTAATACTCTTCCTGTGGTTTCTATTAGAGAAGTTATTCTTGACTTATTCTTAAAAAAAAAAAAGCTAACACAAAACCGTGTCACATAAAATTTTTGATGTAGGCTGGCTGCCACAATACACCGCAGAGTTGCATGCATGGAGTGATTGATATGCAAATAGACGTGTATGCTATATAATGAGAGTTTGCAAAATACTTTGAGAGTCTTCTAAACAAAAGTCATTATATAAATATTTATTAAGAAGTAAAAGCATTGAAAGTTCAAATTCTGTTAGTTACAGCCATTCTCAGTTCACTGCAGAGCAAAAATCTCTCCAGCACTGCTTTTGTCTATCATGTTGAATGGTTTATTTGGGAATCCATAATGCTCAGAAAGTGCACAATTTGAAGGGCTAGCTAAAATTTTCAATCTCATTTGTCTCCCTCCTCACTTCATCACTGATTTGAAACTGCCAGAAACTATTGTCCCTAGTTGCATCATTCACAATTTTCTTGTCATTGTTGTCTGACTGACTTGCCAACTCTGAAGCTCTCTCCTATCTAAGTTGAAAGCTAAAATAACATCACATTTTTAGATTGTTTCTGGCACATTTTTGCTTTATTGCTAGATTTTTAAAAAAAATGCCTTTGCAAGCTAGACTTTACACTATTATTCATATTAAACTGTTGAAATAAACATTACTAATAGAAACCTTAAAAGCTGAGGTCCATTTAAATTGCAGTGGAAAGTGCTGTTCAAATCTTGACTGATTTAACATTGGGCCTATCACTTTCTGTTGTTGTTTTCCCTTGCAGTGTTGCTAACTACCCCCTTGGCCTGGGAATTAATAAAATCACTATTCTAGTAACAGATAATGCGCAATCCGACCCCGAGGTTGTGAGCAGCTATAAAATCACTGTCTATCGAGAAGACCGCCCAAGTCTGCCTTTGTTTGAGGACTATATGGTGTGTGGTTTTGTGCAGGTACTGTTTGTTTTTTCTTTGAATATACACTTTATATATGTATATGGCTTGATTATGATCTCACTTACACTGGTGTAAATCAGAAGTAACTGAACTGAAGTCAGCATGGAACCTGTTTAGATTAGAATGAGGCCCCCTAACTCTTTGGGAATTCTCAATCCATATTGTATAAAATAGGGGGATTACAAAGGTTTTTGGCTATAAATGTAAATTATACATCAGTACCTTTCGTATTTTGTATGCATTGGAAAACTCCAAGCTAAGTTGCCATAACCTTGGTCAACTGAAATCCTACTCACCACAGTATTGTATCTTTCTTTGTAAGAAGCATCAGAGTTATCAGGACAGTAAAGCAGATGTAGTAGAGTTTCTGTTGCTATGATCATCTGTGCAGTTGATGGCAATGTTTTGATCATTATGGTTATGATTGTGATTATGTATTCATTTATTCTTTGCTTATTGCTGACAGTGGGGTCATCTCTGGTCAAGATACAGATATCAAAACGATTTATGAATGAAAAACGTATAGTCTAGAAGACAAACATATAAAGTGAAAACACACGGGGCAGACCAAAAGAAGGAATGAAGTTTAGATTTTTTTAAGTGTGTATATGCAAATACATTATATATAATGTATATATGGATCCTTATGGAAGCATTGAGCCTTTAGAAGAGATCTGAATGAAGAAAAGCTTAAGGTCTGGCATACTGCAGTTGGAAGGACATTTCATACGGAAGGTCAGCATAGAAGAAGACACAAAGATGGGAGTAGGAAAATGAAACAAAGGGACATTGAGGTTTTCATTGTTAGTGGAGCAAAGGTGGTAAAGGAGAACGTGATAGGATATGAGATCTGAGATGTAGGCCAGGATAGCTTTGTGCAGGTCTTTGAAGGCTGAGCACTAGAAGTTAAAATTTGATATGGTGGGGAAGGGGAAATCAGTGGAGAGATTCCAAGAGGGAATTGACAATAGGCAAGGAAGATAAATTCATTTGTGGGGTTTTGAATAGATTGAAGAGTGGGGAGGTCTTACAGGGAATCCAGAGCGAGTATTTCATTAGCGCTAAATTATATTATCGCAAGCAGGCAGGATTGTAAGCAATAGGGCTCTATTAAACTCAGCATTGTGTGCTCCGACTCTGCCATTTCTCTGTGTGTCTCAAAACTTCTTGACTTACACCAATATATCCCCCTCTTAAAACCTGATTCTTTTCCTCCAGTTTTTCTCAACATATTACAGAGGAAGTTAGAGTAATCAAAGTGGGAGCTGACACACGTTTTAGACTTTGGGACAGAAAAGGGGGTAATTTTAAAAAAAAAAAGGTATTGTGAAGAAATAAGCAGTAAGTCTTGCAACCGCAGCAAGGAGAGGTTGTCAGTGTTGTTCTGAAAGTGTGTAGTTGGCAGTAACTAACGCAGTCCATAGGGTCCTTAAAAAACAAAATAATCAATACAAATGTGTGGCAAAATTCTCTTCTCCGATTATATGTAACCAATGCAAAATATCCTATAAACCCACACTACAGGTTGAAGGGGATAATTTTGTTCTCAGACTGAAATCAAATCTAGTCCCAGAGGAGAGTCTCTGATATGGAACCAGAGTTCAGCCTGGCATGTTCAGAGATATAATAACCAAATCTTCACTGATCTTAACATATACATGTCTAATCTAATCTATTACTTTATATCATTGGTTCCCAAACTGGGGGATGCTCCCCCCGGGGAGGCATGAAGAAATTCTAAGAGGGGCACAAGGCTGCCCAGCCCTTGAGATCCCGGCCGGGGAGGCTAGCCCCCGGCCCCTCCCCTCCTGTCCACCCTCCCCTGCAGCCACAATGCAGTTTGCGCCTGCCTGTATCCCAGGCTTTCCAATAAGCCAGTTCTGCCGCTCTGAGCAGCCTGGTAAGGGGGCAGGGAATGGGGGGAGGAGGAGTTGGATAAGAGGCAGGAGGTCCGGGGGGGGGGGGCAGTCAGGGGACAGGGAGTGGTTGGATGGGGCGGAGGTTCTGGGGGGGGCGGTCAGGAGGCAGGGAGCTGGAGCATTGGATAGGTGTGGGAGTCCCGGTGGGGCCTGTCAGGGGGTGGGGGTGTGGATAGGGGTCGGGGCAGTCAGGAGACAGGAAGCCGGGGGGGCTGGATAGGGGGTGGGGTTCCGGGGGTGGTGGTCAGGGGACAAGGAGCAGGGGGAGTTGTATAGGGGGTAGAGTCCGAGGAGGGGGCAGTCAGGGACAAGGAGCAGGAATGGTTGGATAGGGAGTGGGGTCCCGGGGGGGGCAGTTGGGGCAGGGGGTGTCCCAGGAGGGAGTGGTCAGAGGACAAGGATCCGGGGGGGGGGGGTTGGATGATGGTAAAGGAGAGGTGACGGGGCATGAAGGGTTTCTCGAAAATTAAACAGGGGGGCGTGATGCCAAAAAGATTGGGAACCACTGCTTTTTATATCATGTACCTGCATCATGAAATCCAGGCACTGTTCCCACAAAGCTGAATTATGCTGGCCAGTGTTCCACGCATTTTCAATTCATTTATTGTTGGAGCTTTTGTATAGTTTTCAGGTAGTCCAATGATGCTATAGGAATGAGCAATTGACTGCAGAATATAAATAACCTTTTTCTTTATATTGCCTGATGAGGCCTCTTTCTTTGTAGGTGGTCTATTCTACAATTAGGGATTGTTTTTAATGTTCTTTTTTGGAGACGTGTTATTTTCTTAATCTTTACTAAAAAGATTGATTCCAACTGGGTCTTCTTTTCCTCATTAAGTTTTGGCATGTTGAAAAATATGATTATGGAAAGGTTTTGGCAATAGTTACTCTTTCAGTAACTAAAAAAAGGTATGTAGTCTTGAAATAAATTTAGATACACAAGTGATATAAAAGGTGTGTAAGTGGGCCTATCAGTTTTCTTGATGTATAGTAATGCCAATTTTCATAAATCCTACTTGCCTGAATTAGGCAGTGATGTACTTTTATAAGTGATAAGGGTAGGTAGCAAATTACAGTCAGGAGAGGATTAAGAGTTGCTTCATGAGATCTAAGCCCACACAGCATTTGAAGGTGGCCCAGTGACCGGCCCGATGTCAGTAGTGAATCGGAGTAAAACAGGAGCGCAGCAGTGGGAGGGGTATATTATTATGCTACTTAGAAACCAGAATTGGCTGTGAAGATGAGAAAAACCAATCATCCATCACCCAATCATGAGCATATATTTGGTTCCAGGAGTAGGAATTTGTGCTATTTTATGTTCTCCCACATTACAGTTTACACTGTTGTTAATGTTTTATTTTAGTATGTATGTGCCCTCATGCCATATCTTTAAAGCACTGTTGAGAGATCTGGAATGCTTAAAATGAAAAGTGCTGTATAAGTTCCTTTTGCTTGAACTGCATTTGTATGCTCATATGTGAAAAGCTTTTTCCTAATTAAATTTATTACGTAATTGTTCGGAGCTACGGAGGTCTTTAATAGCTAAAAGTAAATATGAGATGAAAAGCATTTTTGAGGTATCTAATGGGGATTGTGAAGATGCAGCATGTGATTTTAAAGTAGCATTTCTTTTGAGGTATGTTGAAGGCAAACATTTCAGAAACTATCTTATTAAATTTTTAAAAACCCAAAGCAATTAAGGTTTAGAAGTGGAGGTTAAAATGGCACGGTCAAAATGCCAAGATGTTGCATTTCTTTTTTGCTTCATTCATATTTGCTAGGGCAAACACTGTCTTTTGTTTATGGTGATTTATTGATAGGAAACATATTTTAAGTTCTCCAAATACTGTAGTTACATTACACTTGCTGTATTGGAGTACATTACACACACAGGCAGCATTTGTTATAGTCACTGTTCAGTGGCTTCCATGCTTGTTCTCTTAGTAACCACCTGTTCCAGAAGCAAAAGGATAAATACACCATGAACTGATGGATTCTCCTTTGGATACTTGACTATGCACAACTGGGATCATGCCTAGGAAGAGAAAGGTCAATGACAGTGGTGTGATCTTTCTCACAGTAGGCTTCCGTTAGAATTCTAATCCAGAGACTTTTTTAAAAACTTTCTTTTATGTTTAATCCTGTTAGGATATTCAGGTTTCACTGCAAGCTGATACCATGATGAAGGTTACAATACAAAGACAGAGCTAGAGATGTTGTTTCCAGTCTTCTAACAATTCTCATGCATCTGAGTAATCCTGGATTAAGTTCAAGGCTATTCAGTTAAGAAGTGTGTGGTTCCGAGCCTCACATTCCCTCGGAGTACCAAATTATTGTCCTTTCTCCTTATTGATAGCAGCCATAATGTCCTCATTAAAACCAAATTAGTAGGGGATAAACTGTGGAGTCACTGCAGCGCATTAATAGGCTTTGCATCCCTTTTATTTGCATTCTGCTCTTCTGCAACGCTACATTGCCTGTAAAAGCTTGTTGGTTTGTTTTTGTTTGTAATTTCATTTTATTGTCGACAACATTCATAGTATTTGAATTTGGTTGCAGTGGCACCATTGCTATATTCCTAGTGGCCTTGTAATCTCTATGTAGGCACAAAAAAAGGAAGTTGTTACAATAGGTTGTTTCCATGAGACAGGGATACCACTATAACCCCCAATACGGCAGAGCCCAACGTTAGTTGTGCACTGTCATAATGGTCAGGACTAATGTATGGAAATAACCAGTGTATCCCTCCATTTATTATGTTGTGCATTATCTTTAAAACACATAGCGATTTATTTATGTATTAGAGTAAAATGTTTTTAATGTTAATTACCTCTTTCATTTTTAATACGGGTTTATCTAGAGTCCTGGACAGTAATTGGTGACATGCAAAGGTTAAAAGCTTCTCTGTGACACCCTGAAGATTGATACCTACAGTATCCTACTGTCTCATGTTAATATTTTTTGTGCCCATTCATTTCACTAATAGCATTAGCTATTCTTTTTTTGTTTTGTGCTATGAGTAATGGATAGCCAATACCCTATTTGCTAGTTACAGTGTATCGTTATCCTTGTCTCTGC